TTTCGCGCAGGGACAGGCCGGCTTGGGGGGCGAGCAGCGGGCTAACGGGCCTTTCCCTTTTAGGCCTCTGGGCCCCAACTGGCCTGGGCTGGCAGTGACAGCAAGTGAATACCTCCTGTGGGCTGCCCAGTGTGTCCTCAGTCCAGCCTGGCGTCCTCAGACCAGTTGCTAGACACTAGATGTTGCTAAATGCTGCCCTTGCTGGCAGGATCAGCACGCAGGTTGCGGGGGCCATGGGCCATGACATGCCCGAGTGGCAACTCCTCCCAGGTCCCCAACTGGCCTGGGCTGGCAGTGACAGCAAGTGAATACCTCCTGTGGGCTGCCCAGTGTGTCCTCAGTCCAGCCTGGCGTCCTCAGACCAGTTGCTAGACACTAGATGTTGCTAAATGCTGCCCTTGCTGGCAGGATCAGCACGCAGGTTGCGGGGGCCATGGGCCATGACATGCCCGAGTGGCAACTCCTCCCAGGTCAGGATTCCGACACCTTGGCAGGGCAGGAAGAAGTGTTGTCCTGGGGCTGTCAGTCTGGCACCATTCACCAGCATTTACATTTAGTCCCAGTAAGTACAGGGGCAACATCTTGTTGCTATTTAATGAGAGCGGAAGAGTCAGGATTCTTTCCAGGTCTGACTGCTCCGTCAGAGCATCCGTCTGTGTCGGGTACCAGCTGAGCCCGGGGTACAACCCAGCCTTCCGAGGCCAGCCCCCGTCCCAGCCTAGCCCGGCGGCCCAGCGCCCCTCTCCACCTTGCAGGGCCGCGTCAGCCTTCAGCGCTGGGAGCAGCTCAGCACGTCGGAAGGTGTCTCTGGGGCAAGAGCAGCAAGAAAACACGCAGCCTCCAGCAACACCTCCTGCTGTGCCTGCCCCTCCCGCTAGCCCTCCACATCGCCATGCGACCTTGGGGCTGCTGGCTCATCCGTCTCTGCCACTGGATCCCATTGTCCTTTTGGGGTCTCCAGGGGATTCACCAAACTACTCAGGAACAAATGGGAGCAGATTGTAGGGCTGCACAATGGCAAAGTCTCACTGCACTCTCCACTGCCGTGTCCTCAAACCCACGCCATGCAGCTAAAGGCCGCCTCCACTATGCAGCCTGGGGGCTAGGGCGTCTCCCTCCACCCCTCCCCAAGCCCAGGCCAGCTGAGAGGGAGGGGGGCTGTGCTGGGACACAAGGAAGCAGGTGCTAATCTGTCTTGCTCAGCAGAGGTGCCCTGTCTCCCTTGGAGAGGACTCACTCACGCTTGACAACGGAGACATTGAGCTAGTTAGCGTCCATGGCGGCTGACTCAGAAACCCTGCTACCCTGCCATGTCGAATTGAATCCGCGTTGCTTCCCTGCTTCCTGAAAGGTCTATTAAACAAGCAGGCTGCTGTGACATGGGCTAATTTCTTCAGTGCTCTGCAGCTACGACGGGATCGATCTGTCCTAGCCTGGCCTGTGGAGCTCGTGGGTGCTGGCGGGTGGGGGGAGTGCTCCAGGTCGGAGGTAGAAGAGGCTTGTCTCCTGCTCGCTGTGGGTGTCTGGACCTCTGCTTTCCACAGCTCCCTGGCAGCTGTGATATAAATTGTAGCACTGATCTGAACTTGACGCTTCACTGCACGGAGGTCTGGGGCTCTGAAGTGGAAAACTGTTAAATGCACAGCTTCAGCGCATGAAATATTTATTCTGCGAACAGTTTTATTCCTTTACCGGTTACTTAAGAAGGGCTTCCCGGTGTCGTTCCCTTTGTGCGCCTAGAGCACTGAGTGCAGTGTTCCTATCTCCTCGCCTTTGTTCAGCAGAACACGGGCCGAGGCTGGATCTTGTCGTTTGTAGCTGGCTTTAAAATAGGTTTACCTCCTTGGTCCTGGGTTCTGACCCTCGCAGGCAGACTGCTGCTGCTGCTGCTGGTGCCGCTGCTGCTGCCCAGCTCTTTGCAAGCACAGCAGTCCCCACACAGATCAAAAGGCATGATCAGAGCCTTGCGCTGGGAGTAGAGATGTTAGCGAGTAGTGCCCTGGAGTATTGACTACACGCTCCCCACCCCACCTCCTCACTGCCTCTATGAGAGGCAGCAGGAAGGAGGGGAGTAACAGGAGCCAGTGCTGGAGGGAGCTGGCTTAAAAGCTGGTTCTCCCTAGCGCCAGCTCCGTCTGCAGTGCCGCCACCTCCCTTCCACCACAGCCTTTATCAGAGGCAGCGGGCGGCAGGGTGGGGGGGGGAAATCGGGGAGGCTGTTGCAGCAGTAGTCCCTGTTTGTGCGGTCCCAGCAGGGAGCTAGGCCTCCCCGCGCACCAGGGCTGCATGCAGCAGCAGCCCTGGTCCACGGCCAGCCCTGTCTGCCACGAACAGGGGCTGGTGCCGGAGCAGCCTCCGTTCGCTGTGGACAGGGCTGGCTGCTGTGAACAAAGGCTGCTGGACTCAGCGTGAGCCGGGACTGAGCAGTCCAGGCTCGCAGTGGTCCAGGACGCTAAGCTTCTGCATTTTAAATGTAGGAAAAGCCCTGCGGCTCTTACTACATTTAAAATGCCGAGCTGCAGAGCATTTTAGCTGGCTCCTGGCACTACGCCCGCTGCGGCTCTGCTAATCATGTAGTCGATACAAATGTTATTGATGACACGATTAGTCAGATAACTACAACTGAACATCCCTTCCCAGGCCTAGGTGGTTACGAGCCATGGCTTGTATTAGTTACCATGGCCAGCAGGTATTTGGGAAGATCCCCAGAGTTTCACTGGTTTTAGCCAGGTGTTTTAAGAACTGACAAGTCTGTCCAGTCTGAGCAAGGAAAATACCGTATCATGCCTGAGATGCTCAATACCAAACTATGAATGGCTTGCAAACAGCCAGCAGTCACAGCATGGTTTTTAGCCCAGCTGCTTACCAAACACATCTAAAAAACAAAGCCATCCTGGGAGAATCCAGATCAGTGAACAAATGATTCATTAACCCAAAAAGGGGGCTAAATTCAGACCAAAACTTGTGCATCGGAAAGAGAATAACTAACCTGGAGGTTAAATGCGCCCCAGCGTGTGTCAGGGAACATAGGCATTAAAGGTGACTGATCATGTTCATTTGTGCATTACCATGCAGTCTCTAATTCTGCAATCGCATTCAGCAACAGCTGGTAAAGGACTAGGGCTGTGTATAAGGCGACTTCCCTTCCCCAGCTGTGTGTTATCCACTGCAGTTAACCAAATGAACACTAGATGTCAGGTCAGTCCCATTCAGAGACACCCTGAAGGCCTGGTAGCTGGCTGTCATGCACTTTAGCAGGGAATTATTCTTCTGTCCCAGTGTTAAATGCGTTCATACTCTGAATACCTACTTTCCTGCTGCCATCTCTTGGCTGGTCTCCTGGGAGGCCCAAGACGTGTCTGAGTTCTTAAAGGTCACACAGTATGGTTTTCGCACCAGGGAAAATCAGACCACTCTCCGGAGCTCTTAAGGCTGCATTTGCCCAAAAGTTAAGTGTGCAAATGTGCCCATTATTCCCAGTGAGGGGTGTCAACTGGGTGACCATGCCCTCAGTTGCATCAAATGGACCAGTGATGCATTCACCCAGGTGACTGCATTGACATGGCAGTTGCTTGGCCAGGTGAAGCGACGATTGTGCATGCGGTTTTGCACGTTTTATTTTAGCACTCTGGCCCTTACAGCCACAACAAAAGCTGAATGTTTCTGGTAAAGCTGAGCAGGAATTGAACCTCCCAGTGCTGGTGTCAGGAGGCCCTGAAATGGACTTGCTCTCCCATAGACCCTTTACTGAATGTGTGTCTCTTCCCCCCCGGAGCAATCTGAAAGGACTCTGAGGAACAGCACGGCTCCTTGGCCAAGATCTGCGTTGGATGACAGTGCCAGGGCATGACTGCTATGCACTCCTCTTAGGCCCACCTGTGGCACTAGAATTGTTGCTTCTATGATCCCGCTGACACCTCTCACTGGGCCTTTTCTTTCCGCAGATCGGGACCAAACCGCCACGAGCCAAGCGCCCGAGACCAACCACAGCACTTTGGAGGCCCCCCTCCGCTCATCTCTCCCAAACCTCAGCATCATCCAGTGCCCACCTCGCTTTGGAACCCAGTGTCCTTACTGGAGAACAACATGGAGCCGCGCAGGATCCAGGAGAACCATTCGCTCCACGCCCAGTATGAGCCCAGCCGACAAGCCATCCCCTTGGTGAAGGTGGAACGGGTATTCTGCCCCGAGAAGCTGGAGGAAGGGGCCAGGAAGAGAGAAGCATTAGACAAGTACCAGCCTGCCAGGGAGTCTGGGGCATCAGAACATGGTGGGTTCTCCCATGGTCCCTTCCTGGCGGAACTGGAAAAGTCAACACAGACCATCCTCAACCAACAGAGGGCATCGCTCTCCCAAACAGGGCAGTTTGCTGAGGTCAGTCTGCCCAGCAAGCCTAGCTCACCTTACCGACATCCGCTGCCCCGGGCCCACGACCCCATGTACGTTTACGATGAGTTTCTACAGCAGCACCGTAAACTAGTCAGCAAACTGGACCTGGAGGAGCGGAGACGGAGAGAAGCCAGGGAAAAAGGTGAGTGCCTGCATCGCGTGGTCCTCTTCAGCCCCTGAGCATGGCACCTTAGCGAGGGCCTGTCTACACGGGCTGCGCCTGGGCAGGGAGGCAGGGTGGGAGTCTACGGTGCACTAGCTCGCTGTGCCGTAACGCCCCAAGCTGCAGCGCGTGACTGGCCCTGGCGAGTGCTTTGACTTACGACACTTAAACGCGCTCCTGGATGGTAGAGTCACAGTCCCAGGCTTGTCATGCAGTAACGTCCCACGCTGACAAACCCTGAGAACAGTCATCAACTGAAGCCTTGCAGCTTTGAGCAGGGGGCTGGATGGATTAGATTAGAAATGAGCTGCAGAGCTGTTCTTCTAGGGCAGGGGCCTCAAACTCCTGGCTCATGGGCCAGTCTTGGCTGGAGCGATCTGACCTGGGACTTCGGGGGGGAGGGGCAGGAGGAGGAAGGGGAGCCCTGTCCGTTACTGCCTCAAGCCCCACCCCTTCCCGCCATTGCCCAATCCTCTCCCCCCAGGGTCTCTCGTACCCCACGCATGTGGCTTTGAGGATTCCCAAGGGGGCGCTATGCAGCAGCAGCAGTCACACCCCCTGCACTCCCCACGGTGGCAGGAGCTGCAGGGGAAGCGGAGCAAACGCGCCCGCCCAACGCCATGGGGGGGAAGAGGGGGACTGCTGCCGTCACGCAGCACCAGGCTTCCCTGGTGATCCCCAAAACTGCACGCTCGGGGAGGGGGTGTCCTGGGGGGAGAGGGCAAGGGGCGGGGTGTGGGGGCCAGTACAGGGCAGCCCCGTCCAGTCCCAGGACGGGTTGCGCGATGGCTCCAGCCGGGACTGGCCCGTGGGCCGGGCGTCTGAGACCCCTGTTTTAGGGCAAAGGCTCAAGCCCACCCTGGCTCAGAAGAGGGTGAACGCTGGTACCATCCGATCAGGGGCCTGCAGGAAACGAATGGGAATGGGTGTCTCAATCCAGCTCCTGTTGAACAAGTCTCCGAAAGACAAAGGTGGAGCAGGCATGGTGGGCAGGGGGAGGCTCCTCTGAGGCAGAGGGCAAGTCCTCTGGGCCTGCAGAGGAGTGGAGTCTACAGGGCTGCAAACCCTGCTTCCGACACACTACGACATGTCAGGGGGCTGGGTTGTGCCGGGGGAGGGGGAGCTGTAGTGTCCAAGACACACAAGAACAACAACCCCTTTGATTTTGAACAAGCCCTGGTAGCAGGGTTATGTCTCCCCGGGGGAGCTAATTGACACCTCTGCTGAGCAGATGGACTGCGAGCACACAGCCGCCCCCACCGCCAATGCAAATCGCGCTGAAAGCCAAATCAGAGCAGCTCTGTAAACCCTCTGCTGCAGACAATCCCAATTAATAAATGATGAACTGAGGCTAATAAGCTGGCTTTAAATATTAATGGGGCTGTACAAGCAGGGATAGGAACAACAGAGGGGAGGAGACTGCTCCGCGGGTGGGGAGGCGGTGGGTTTGGGCATGGGAGCAACACAGTCATTCTCAACTGAGGCTCGGGGCTATGACTGTCTCCGGGCTGCTGATCTCGCTGCTGCTGACACATGCTGTGTCTCAGATGGCTGGCTCTTGGCTCGCCCACATGCTGCCGCGCTCTTCTTCTGTTCCCTCTTGGCAAAACCGCACTTGGCCCCCCTCCTGCCTCTGCCCCCGTTAACTCTTTGGAGCCAGTGGAAGCAGCTGACGGCACAGTGTGCCGCTGCGCATGTGAGCCGTGGCTCCTGCAGCGTTGGGTCCTGCGCCAGGCTGGCACGCTGGCCGCTCCTGCAGTGCACAGATGCTCCTGCCGTAAAAACGAGACGTCGCGCCCCAGCCCCTCCCGGCAGACGGCTGCCTTGTAGTTCATGGCTTCCACATACCAAGACTGAGCTCCCCACTGGCCTGGCTGGCCATCTCCGAGCGGGGCTTCCGTGTGACAGGCAGGGGGCAAGGTGGCAGGTGTGCGTGTGAACAGCTCGCAGTGGTGGCAGACCCGGAGTGGTGCAAATTCGACACATGACTCTGAATGCATGAGGGAGAGCCACGGGCATCAGCTGCGCTGGTAGCTGCAGGGACGCGGGGCTCGCGTCACGCCGGGGAAGGCCATTGCCTTCGGGGAGCCACCCCTCCCGTGCAGGGTTTCGGATCTCGTCCGCAGATCAGAATCAGCTCCCAGCGAGTGCTCAAGCGTGGGGGGTCAGCTGAGTTTGAGTTCCTCTATTGGCAGGGGAGCATTCTGAACACTCAGCGAATACACTCGCGCGCGCCATACACGGACATGCTTGCCTGTTCGCCATGTTCAGCATGACGGTGCATCCAAATGACCGTGCATAGTCAGCGTAGTTGCACATGCACTTGGCTGTAATAAATGGCCGCCTCCAAGGGCATGATCTGTAACACGTCACACTACTGGGCAGCCGCAGACAGCTGAATGGACATGAACAACAAACCCGCCAACGAGCTGTCAGGGAAATTGTTTCTTCCTCCTCCTCCTCGCAGCCCAAAACTAAAAGGACCAAGCCCCAGGATCAACAAGCCCTGAACCAAGGGGTGTCTGGGAACTCATCAGTTCTCCATGCAACAGGACTAGCCCTGGGCTCTTTATCCCAGTGGGAAGAGGAGTTCCCAGCTGTCCCTTGGGACCCACAGCACATTCAGCTAGCCCGGGACAAGCCCCATGATTTCAACCGTTTATCTGCTCATATTCCAGCCAGCAAATCCATTTTGTGGTGAATTGGTAGAGATCATTCCCCCCCTTTTGCCGCTGAATCCTGGCCACTTGCCCTCCTGGCACTAAAAGCAGCTGCGTGGCTCAGGCAGAGGCGTCTGAATAAAGGACCAGTGACAGCTTTCAAGCCTCTTGCAAACATTTTCAAAATAGACTGTCTGCGAGACATTTGGCAGCAGAGAATAGATTCCCCCATGCATCACCACTGCACCCCATGTGGGTCAGGTAGTGACTTGTCGATACAAATACACTGGACTGTTCTTTCCCCAGTGTAATGGGCACGGGGAGAGTGACTGAAGGGCACTTGCAGGCATATTGCATGCCATGGCCGGCAGCCCCAAGAGCACAGCCGGCTGCTTCTGTGAATTACACAGGGGCTGTGTCTAGACTGCTTCCCTTTTCCGTAAAAGGGATGCAAATTAGACACATCGGAAATGCAAATGAAGCGGGGATTTAAATCCCCCCCCGCTTCATTTGTATAAACATGGCTGCCGCTTTTTCCCGGCTTGGAGCTTTGCCGGAAAAAAGCACCAGTCTTGCTGAGCGTGTCACTTGGTTGGGATTCATTGCAAGCTACCCAAGTCCAAGGTGATGCAGGTTCTCTCCAGTGGGGGAGAGGGAGCTGACTGTCCCGCCTCTTGGCCGCACCAGCCCACGTCTGCGTCTCTCTCACACAGGCTACTACTATGACCTGGATGACTCCTATGACGAGAGTGACGAGGAGGAAGTGAGAGCCCATCTCCGGTGCGTTGCCGAGCAGCCCCCGCTGAAGCTGGATACTTCCTCTGAGGTATGCCGGCTGTTTGCTCCTGCTGTGGTTCCTCTTGAGCCTTTGTGTCCAGTCCTATTGGTGAGGTGCCCTGAGCCAGCTCAGACTCGCTAGGCACACTGCGGGGCAGAGCAGCCGAGGATGTTGAGCCCACAAGCACTATTGAGGACACGGCGGCTTTGCTCCGTAGAGCTCCTCCAACCTTTTCCAGCGCAGAGATAACTATGTAGCAGCAGCAGAAAAGAAGCAGGCTGAAAGGGCCCAGTGGAAGGAGGGAAGAGGGGTTCAGACCAGGAAGCAGACCGGGTGAGGTGGAAAGATACAGCTCTTTCAGAGGTGTTTCAGAGAGCTGATGAAGAGGAGAGACTGAGCTTTTCTCAGTTCGGAAAAGGGGCTGTAGGCTCATCATCCTCTCACTAGCTCGTTGTACCTGAGGCTTATCCATGCCTTGCGTAGCCCATGGCCAGCCTGTGGATGACAGCTTCAGCTGATAGGTAGCCTGTTGCACTATTCATCTTCACAGCAGTTCATCAACATTAAATAACTCACGAGACACAGCAGAGTGGGGATGTATTACCCACGTTGCACAGATGGAGAAACTGAGGCAGGGAGGTAAAGTGACTTGCTCAGGGCCACTGAGAGAGACGGTGTCCAAGCCACAACCTTCCCTTCCCTCAGTCTGTTTGTCTTTGGACTGCAAATCCTTTGGGCCAGGGGTCGTCTTCTTCTGTGTCCGTACAACATCTAACACAATGGGGGCCTCGATCCCGACAGGGGCTGTGGGGACTACCGTACTATAAATATGTAATAACCCCCACCTCAGGGGTGTGCTCGGGAGTCTGCCTGGCAGGCCCACACTGCTAGCCTGCAGCTCTGACGTGAATGAGCGCAGCAGTGCGCTTTTCGTGAGCCCTGGTGACTGCCTGATTCAAGCTGAATTGTCTTGGGCTACCAATCCTGCCCCCTTTCCGGATGGCTTACACATCTGTGGTTTGGGAGGAACTGAACAGCTCATTCGCTGTTTAAAAGACACTGGGTTTCCCATGCCATTGATTTTAGTATTATGGATTCCTTTCCAGACTGTGTAAGCGTCCCCAGAGAAGCAGTGTGGTGTGCGTGGAATTATATTCCCATAAACCTAGACAGATAAGAGAGAAATATATGACAGGGACACTAGACTGCAGCAGGTTTTTCCCTGTTCAGCTGAATGAAAAGGCCCACTGAGCTTTGAAACGACTCATTTATGTGGCTCTTCCCATTGCCAAACTCCAGAAATTGGAGTTCCTGCAGCTTTTTGGCCTGACCACCCAGCAGCAGAAGGAGGAGCTGCTGACTCAAAAGCGGAGGAAGAGGCGAAGGATGCTGAGGGAGAGGAGTCCCTCCCCTCCAATGGTCCAGAACAAACGACGGACGCCGTCCCCACGGCTCCCGCTCTCCACGCGCTACAGCGCCGATGAGATGAACAACAGCCCCAACTTTGAGGAGAAGAAAAGGTTCCTGACCATCTTCAACCTGACGCACATCAGCGCCGAGAAAAGGAAAGGTATAGCTTGACTCCTGGGGGGCACTGGGGAGGGATGTGGTGTGTTGGATTCTCTAGGTCCTTACATGGCCCCATCGCTATGGTCTGCATGAAAGGAAGGGGCGCTCACAAAGCTGGTGGCCATGGGGCTCTAGAGCAGCACTAGGAGAAATGTCTCAATTCCATGAACTTCTGTCACACCAGGATGGCCATTTGCCCTGAGATGCCACACTGCCTTATGGGGCTGCAACTTCCCCAAGAGATGAGCAAGCAAAGTACCACCACTGGTCCCCACTCCGGCACACAGCACCCCAAGGCCTTATTTTCAGAAGTGCTGAGTACCCGCAGCTCTATTAGAGGGAGCTGCAGCTTCTCAGCATCTTTCTCCACAAGGCAGGTCCTGAACTTCTGGGACAAGTGTCACTAGTCTGAGTTGAAGATGCCCACTTAACTCCTGCTTACAAGGTTTTCATTCTGCTGCAGGCTGGCTGGATCAGCATGGCTTCTCTGACAGAGTCAGCTTCCCCATTGCTGATCTCTGCTGCAGTCGTGGTGAGCAAAATGAGGGCATTTTCCACTGCCTTGCAGCGAAACCTCTGGTGCTGGAGCATCCCCTAGCGCATGTGCATCCAGTAGAGAGCCTAAACACGAGTGCCATCTTTCTCTCACATGGCATGCAACCCTCAGACGCCTGGTGGGAATCTGCCCGGCGCTGTAAGAACAGCATGGCTCCACTGGTCAGGCAGACACCCCCTACTGGAGACGGCAAACACTGGGCCGCTCATGTCCTGTTGTTCATCAGGCTTTGCTAGTTAAGTTAAACTGAGGGAAGGACCCTTCTAATCCCATGATCACCACCACCACTCAGATTATGGATAGTGCTGTGTCCTGCCGAGTGGGCACAAGCAGTGACTTCCTACCCGTTAAGCAGAATTCCCACTGGGGTCTCTGCCCTGTAGCGACTGCAGAATCCGTTGCTGTTCTTTGTGCCCAGTGCTAGCCAGGTGCTATCTTCATGACTGTGCTATAAGTCCAGAGCATGGGTTCCCAAACTGGGGGGGCACGAGGTGACCCATTCCCCTCCGTCAACCCCCCCCCCCAAGTTTTGCTCCACAAGGTTTGCTGCTATTGGGGGGGGGTGCATGAGGGTTTCTCAAAAATCTAAAAGGGGGCGTGATGCCGAAAAGTTTGGGAACTGCTGCTCCAGAGAGACTGAGTTCCCATGTATGCACTTGCAAAGCCGAAAGCTGTCCTGTGCTGTCTGCTCTCAGTATCTTCCTACTTACCTCGGCTCCGATGAGCAAAGACTGCACTAACTCACAGCTTTCTGTCCTCCAGATAAAGAGAAACTGGTGGAAATGCTCCATGCCATGAAGCAGAAAAGTGCGACAGCAGCAGTGGTGGTGAAAAGCTCCCCACGGGACAGTCCTACTCTCACTGCAGCTGGTAAGTGGTGGGGGGAAGGAGAGGAACAGAGTGGATGGACAGGCCTCCATGGTCCTCCTGAAAACTGGATCATAGGGACGAAAGAGTGCCCCTAGCAGGCCTGATCTTGCTTGCACTCGGACTGGTGCAATTACCCCAGCACGAGTGAGAGAAGAGCTGGGCTCAGACAGGAACCCCTTCATGACGGAACTGGATATAACGGGAGACATTCGCCTGTCGTGTCCAGTCCCCCCTCCTCCCAAGACAGACAGGTGGCTTTCACTGAATCAGGCCAATGTGGAGTTTGCTGAAGTGATGGCAGGGGGGGTGGGTCAGGCCTTTCGCAGGCTTGGAGGCAAAACCCCTCCTGGCTCAGATTTGCAAAGAGCCTCTGCCGTATGTGCAGAGCCCTGAAGGAGAGTTGTGCTGTGCAGTCATGGGCCAGACAGTGAACTGAGCTGCAATGTCTGCGGGGGAATTTTTTGTGGCCCTTTAGCGTTACAGGCCCACCTGACTAATGGCACGGGATTTCTCCTCCAGCCCCAGACAGACTGAGGTCGATCTATCCCATGTTGCATGAGAGCACCTTCTTGGAAACACCAAACCAGCGGGGCGCCAAAGGGCAATGTGGGCGCCTTGCAGATCTATTCAATAACACGTGAAGGCACCCAGGCACATTCGAATTAAGCATCTCCATCCAATCAGTCCCAAGCCCCGGTAGTAACTCTATTGTTTTATTTCCCAAAGAGCTCCAGGTACAACAACCTCCTGTGGAGTCAGATAGGCCTGTTGGTATCACCGCCTCCTCGCCAGACACTCAAAAGACAGCAGAGCCCAGCAGATTGGAACAGCTGAGACCACAGGAGCCCCAGAGGGCCAAGGAGCCAGCCCCTGTCTCTGCTGAGAAGCCCAGGCTGAATGATGGACACACTGGGAAGAAGAGCCTGAGCATATTCAATTACGTCAGGGGCCCTTTGCCTAAGGATATCCCAGTGCCACTCTCTCACAGCATGAATGGGAAGAATAAGCCATGGGAACCCTTCATAGCTGAAGAATTTGCACATCAGTTTCACGAGTCTGTGCTACAGTCCACACAAAAAGCACTGCAGAAGCACAAAGGTATGGGACACATCCAGAAGGGGAGACAGAAATAGAACACATGTAAAAAATAAGAACACTGTACAAAATTCTCAACGAGACTTCAACCTAAGCTCTAAATCAAGTGTCTTCACTTTTGCACATGTAAAATTCCACACGCACACTTTTTTCTTCTCATGAGTTTTATCAGGTGCAGATCCTGAGTAGAAGCCAAATTTTATTTGCAATGCACTGTGTCTGGAATTGAGACATCAAAACCTCCAGTTTGCGTACAGAAATTACATCTGCACATATAGGTGGGAGTTTGTGTGCACAAAAACCTAGATCTGAAATAAAAGTGTGCACAAAACTTATGCGTGTAAAATTGTGGGAGTTAATTGTAGGAAAATCTAGCTATTGATCGAGCCATAATGACAGTAATTCCCCAAAAAACAACAACTAGTCTGGTAGCACTTTAAAAACTAACAAAACATGTAGATGGTATCATGAGCTTTCGTGGCCACAGCTGTGCCCACGAAAGCTCGTGATACCACCTACGTGTTTTGTTAGTCTTTAAAGCGCTACAAGACTATTTGTTGTTTTTTAAGTTTTTCCTGTTACAGACTAACTTGGCTACCCCTCTGAAATAATTCCCCAGACAGCCATGCTTTTGTGCTCGTACGTGTTCTAGAAAAAGTGTTTTAGAAAGGCTCTCTATGAGAAGGGAGAAAAACATCTGACTGTCCTCCAAGTGGGTATTCAATGTGAGCATGAAACACAGCCTGTTTCTGGACGGTATCTGGAAACTATCAGTCAATACACCTGTGCTTTCCCATCACTTAAATAGCCTAAACAGTTACAGTAACAAGTAAAAATATGGAAACTTCATGAGAGGCACTGAAAATATGGCTCACTCACTGAAAAGCTCATTCATTTCAATGGGTAGAAGTACAGAAAATAAAATTACAAGTGTGTAGGGAGCATCCGTTAACAGAACATTTTTTTAAAGTATTAAGAAAGCAGAAAGGAGCAGTATACAAAAAAGTAGACAGTCCAGGGCCATAAATATATGTAATGACTGGCTCAGAGAGCAATTAAAATCGACTGAAGACATCTCCAACATTCAATAAGAAACGTTAATCTTATAGACAATTTTTATCCCAAGGGCAGCATATTTATTAATGCAATGTGATCAAAAATGTTTTTAAATAAGAAGCCTTTTTAGGGGCATATATTCAGCCATTCAGTGAGTAGGTCACTTGATTGACAAACAAGAGACAGGCACTGTACTCCCAACTCTGCCACTGACTACTGTATAACTTACAACAAGTGACATAATTTCTCTGCACCTCTGTTGTGTTGTTCCTCCGGCCCCGTTTCTCTCTTGCCAGTTAGGATCTCACCCTAGCGAGCTTAGGGGTCACTAGGCCCTACTCTAATAGTTGAAGAATTTTAGAAGAGCTGTAACACACTTCCAGGTGCATGTGCCTGCAGGAGAGGGTGAGGATTAGAGGATTGTGAAGAGAGGTTTCCTGTACTCGCTGCACCTTCTGTAACAAAAGGTGTGAAAGGGAATTTGCAGCCTGGCATTTGGCATTCTCATCACAGCGATGCAAGTGCATAGAGGAGTTTGTTCTCTTACCCTTTTTAAAGTTATCAGCATGCTTCCACATGGGCCATCCAGGCAGTCAGGATCAGACTGGGCATGTCTACACAGCAGAGCTAAAGTCAAATTAAGCTACGCAACTTCAGCTTCGTCAGTTGCGTACCTGAAGTCAGAACTGCTTAAATTCGGCGTTTGGCGCAGTCTACACAGCAAGAAGCGGAAGGAATACTCTTCCTTCCGCTTCCCTTACGCCTCGTGAAATGAGAGTTACAGGCGTCGGAGTAAGAAGTCCTTCAGCTCGCCATTATTTCGAAATAAAGGCTTGTAGTGTAGACGTGCACTATGTTATTCCGAAATAACGCTGCTATGTAGCTGTACCCGCTGCTCCTTGCGAGCAGGGAGACAAGAGTTCTAATTGGATCCTAGAGGCCAGGTGATCCACACCCCAGCTCCCACGCTGCTCTTCTCTCTGGCAAATGAGGAGTTAAGCTTCTTAGCCTTTGTGGATGCACAATAACCAAACACTGCTATGAGCTTGACTGTCAGTGGAGCGTCAACACCTGACCTCCACTTGCTCCTGTATGCATAGGTGTTAATGTAGAGCAGGTGCATGCATGCAGGTGGAGGCAAGGGTAGGAAAATCAATCTTAATACACTTCATTGCAGGACAGGCGCTGACATCCAGAAATGAGGCTGATCACAGATGGTAGCTGTGGCTTTATCTCATGTAGACTGTCTGTGCTGGCCCGGGCCTTGGGATGTTTTCCAGGACTCTGCCCTGTTTAGTCTGAAATGTCTTCTGAGAATGTGAGATGTCTTCTTTTCTCTTTATTTCTGGCTGAGTGTTTTCTGTTCCTGTCTTGCTTCCAGGAAGTGCAACAGCACTTACTGCAGAGCAGAACCACAAAATCGACACCTCTATCCATTACAACATTCCTGAGCTTCAGACCTCAAGCCGGGTCCAGCTGCCTCAGCAGAATGGGCAGCAAGACACCCCACTGGCACGAAGGGGGCTCATCACACCCGAACAGGACAAGGACTCTGACTCAGAGGGGGAGGACGAGGAGGAGGAAGACGAGGAGGAGGAGGAGTACCCCAGACCTAAATGGCAGGGTATCGAGGCAATCTTTGAAGCTTATCAGGAACATATAGAAGGTAGGGGAAAAGGATGAGGTTTTAGTCCTATAAATGACAGTGTGGGATTTCTGGTATCCTCTCCGGGTGTGCACATCACAATACTTTTCCTGCAATGTAAGAGGAGAAGGTGGACTTGTGGTAAAACTTTCAACTT